TTTATATAAAATATATATAAATATATAATGGGCAGAGCTTCCAGGTCTGTAAAGTGAAGCTGTCAACATGGGGCAGCTTCATGGGTTGCAAAGTCTTATGGAGAAATGACCCTACTTCTTACCTACTTACATAATATGAATCAAGATTATGTTATTGCATTACCTATGTCTTACTTAAAATATTTTACAAACTGTTCATCTGTAATACAAGAATATATGTGACCAGGGAAGCAAACACTGTTTCCTGCTAAACATGAGTCAAAACTATGCACAATTTGCAGCATATCACCACTGCTGACTCCAGGAAACCGTCATGGTGGATTTTTGGACTGTTGAGCTGTTGCTTCTGTGCCACCACTTAACTGTCTAACTGGAGTGTCTCCAGTCAAATTGGCAACATTTTGGTAGAAATCAGAAATCAGAATGGTTTCTACGAAAAAAGTACTAATGTTTAAGCCGAGCTACATATAACTAACCGGCTTGGCTTTCTGTGTGTTCTTGTGCGCAGCCAGGTTGACAGGCCCAGGGTCCATCATGGAGCCGGGGAACAGGTGAGCCAGCTCGGCGCTGAAGGCCGCAGACACCGCCTCGTTGGGCGGTGTGAGAGGAGGGGTCATGAAGAGGGGCGTGGTTTTAGGTGTTGGGGGGATGACGTCAGAGGGGTGAATGAAGAAGCCTGGAGCGGAGGAAGGGTTGGAAGGCACAGAGTTGTGGATGGGCCCCACACCTGAGGCAGCGGCAGCTGCTGAGGTGGTCTGATGCAGCTTGGCCTCAAGCTTGGCCTTCTGTTCATAACACAGACAAGACATATTACTAACAAGACAAAAACACTTGACTGGTACTATAACAGAATAATATTTCACAGACTAATACTCCTATGCTCATATATAAGCTTATGATCCATTATTTTTCTAGTGCTGTCCTCTATTGTTTAATTGTTTTTATTTTGTCCCTGAACTGGCTGCATGCTGTATCATGTCTGCTACCTTCTAAGAAATCTTCTGGTACATCTTTTGCTCTGTTTCTTCTTGCAGCCTGGACATCTTTTAACACAAGTTCTCCAGTGTTCTTCATTTTTTAAGTATGATGTGACAAAACATCGCAATGAACAGCCCTACCTCAAAGTACCCTGAACTTGCATTTGGCATCACCTCCTGAGGAGTGGCCAAATTTAGTCCCAGGAAAAAAGCCAGCATAGAACAGTGGAAATAAATGCAAAACCCATAATAATGACAACATGCTATGAAGGTTTTGTTAAGGTCCTGCATTGGAAAACATAGCATGTGTGTGTGTCACAAGTGTGTTTGTGTGTAATTTGGTTCTTTCACCTGCTGCTGCAGCTTCAACAGTTGCTGTTGTTTCTCCTGCAGCACCTGCAGCTGCTGCTCTGCAGACACCATGGCGTGGGACAGCGACTGGAGCGCCACCTGTGCCGCTGAGCTTAGAGCTGTAGAAGCTTCACCAACCGTTCCTGTAGACAGGCCGCCCACCGCAGGCGTCACACCAAATGTACTCACTGGGGTTAAAGAGCAGATGTTTAGACAACAAGCAGTTCATGAGCCAAAGACATGAAAAATGAAAGAAATGTTTACCAGTGAACATGCTGGCGTCATCTCGTTCCACTCGTGTGCCATCGCTGGTTGAGATACAAGTAAAGTGCAAAGGCTCCACCTCCAGCAGTCCAGTTAATGCTGTGAAGCTGCCCTCTGCTGCTGCACAGCTGCTCACTTTTCCATTCCCTGCAGGAAACACCCAAAACCAAAAGAACATTCAAGAAAATATCTGAACTTCGAGTCTCTCTCCAGCATTTCAACATTTCCCCATTACATAGTAGAGAACTTAAAATATACCAGGGTTTTGCAGTGCTAAATTCTGTCGAGCAAACCTTTTTACATTAATATATCAGTAAATTACTTGTATCAAATATAAGAACAGTGTAGGAACTTTTTATACATTGTCCCCTGATGTTAAATAATGAAAAATATAAAAATATAAAGTTCAAATAAACATCATATTTAGCGCCACATGAATGTGACAATCTAATCTATTTTAATCTGCAGTCCACCAGTGAGCAGGTTTAAAAAGTCTAGAATAACAAGGCTGTAACATGATGTTAATCAGTGCACAGCTTATACCTGAGAGAATGTCAGAGAGGTCAATCTCATCTGATTGGACTCCAATACTGCTGTTGAAGGCATTCTTACAGGAGGAACCACTGACTTCCAGGTCAAAGAGTACTGGGTCAAACGGAGAGCTGTACAGGCCATACCTGGAAGGAGGTGGACAGGAGAGGCTTGTGTTTAGGGAGAAACATCAAGGAAGGAATGACTCTACTAATAAGACACCATCAAGCAGTATAAATGAGCATTTAATGGGTAAAGAAACAGCATCAATGTAATACTGATGCCTCTATATGATCTACATAACAAACAAGAGCATCAGAGAGAAGATTGACTGTTATTATATAGCTATTCTTAATGCCTGAAATGAGGCAGTGGAAACACTACTGCTTTTGTCCAAAGGGGCCACCAAGATCAACCCAAAAAGCAAGTTCCTTGTTGGGGCTTTAAGTCATAGAATAAATTATGATTTGTGCATCACTATCCTAGAGAGGCCGGGCTGTCAGTACCTGGTCTGCAACAGTGCCTCCAGTGGGGTGAGGCGGTCCTGCAGCTGTCGAGAGATGGCGGTGAGTAGGTTGGCGCAGGCAGTGCTGCAGCCTGCAAGGTCCTCTTCCTTCACATAGTTCAGCAACACAAAGTACCAGAATACGGAGCCTGAAACAAGAGGGAGAGGGGGAGATGAGAAAATACTGGAGAGTCATGAAAGAGGAGCAACGGAAAGCTGCTGTGTGTAGTTCAGTTACTTACCACCTGTTGCTGCTGCAGGCAGGTAAGGCATATTGTCTAGCAGAGCCTTCAGCAGACTCACGCCAAAACCCTGTTGACTTGGGTCCCCTTTCCCATTGCTATAGCAAGAAATAAATGTTCATCATTATCTCCATATGAACCCCAAGTGCACAAGAGCTCAAGAACAAACAATGACTTCATCATATAGGGTGTTTCCACTACAGGAACCTCCAAAATAAAGGTATAGCCACTGTCATGGGCTCAGATTTTGTTCCCACTGTACAGTGTTTGCTTCCTGGGACCTACACTTGGGAAGGAATGTCACACCGATTCAGAACAGAATATACAACTTGTGTTTTGCTGCTAATGCAGCACACATGCATGGGCGAATATATGGGAAATCGTCAGTTGTTGGAGTGACAGCGGCCCAACCCTAGCAAGGAGCAGAGAAAGAACAGCACCTGCAGTTGCCTGTGCATCTTTCTGGGCAGCTGATCTGTCCCAAGAGACACAACCAGCTCTGGGGAGATAGTCAACTGTGTGGGAGCTGGTCTGGTGCCAGTCTCGTGTACTCTTTTTTTTTTTTTTTTTTTGCTCCAGTCTGTCAACCTCTTACTGCAGTTAGACTCTTATGTTCATTTAAACAATACTGATGGTTAAAATTCAACTTATACAATTAGAATCAGACTTAGAAATACTTTATTGATCCCAGGGGGGAAATTTGTAAAGAATGTCTAATGTCAAAGAAAATCTATATTAGCATCAGCTTTTGTCCTTGTGGTCTGTCCCACTACACTCACCCCACTAGCCTACAGCGCAGCGCTGTCCTAGTATTACTATACATATGGTGTTGCTATTTTAATGATGTACTGTGTATCAGGTTGGTACCACACAGTGGAAAACCAGGCAGAGCATAGAACCTAAACTTTACAGGTTGTTACCGGTTCAGATTACAAGAAGCCACAGGTTTACAGGGTTGTTAAGTTCCCATAGCGGAAAAGAACTAAAAGCCTCATCACCAAAATCAACCATGTGTCTTACCTAATACAAAGTGCAAGAAAGCGAGCACATTTGTGCGCTATGCTCCGACCGGCCTCGAAGAAACACATCCGCACAATATCCGTCAGCCGTGTCCGTGTTTTCACCAGCAGACCCTCCTTTCCTTCTCTTAAGCTACAAAGAAACCACAGGATATATTATTTGTCTTAGTAACTCGTGAACTCAATGTCCTAGACGATGACTTGCTTTAGTCCTACCTGCAGGGACCGTTGGAGAAAACCCCAGCCAGCCAGCACAAGATGTCTAGGATGAGGCTTTGGGCATGCTCTGTGGCTGGGCTGCCCTCTGTCCGCCGACACAGCGCATCCAGCAGCTTCTCATGGAAGTCTAGGAACTGTAGCATAGCACAGCGTTGGACCCTGAGTAGAACAGAAGAACAAAGAGACAACTTAACTCCTGCAATATGTACAGTACAGACGAATACCATCCAAGGAGACAGTGACGGTAATAGTGACCATTTGCTGCTGCATGTATTTAGTGTTCATCATGACAACGACAGTGATCTAACCTTTCTTTGGGTATTGAAGTCTTCTTAAACCTTCTGATTGTGACTGAAACTTCCTGCAGCAGGTCACAGCCTCGCAGGTTTTCTACTTTCTTCGAGGGTGCTGGGCTCTCCATTTTCACCGCAGAGACCTTCTCCTACACACACACACACAGACGATTTTAAAACTTAAAAAATGTTTGGTTTGTCTGTTTCAGGCTACTGTAGAAACATGGCAGACTCCGTAGAAGAGGACCCACTCCCTCTGCAGCTGATTAGGTAACAGGTTTCAGGTTTCATTATACACTAATGAAAACCAAGGACCTAAAATCCAGTCTGTCTGTGCAAACATACACTACGTTAGTTAAGCATATAAGTAAGTATCTTGCAAAGTTAGTCTTTTTATTTATTTATTTTAGGTCATATTTATTTGTTAATACCCATTAGTACCCATTGTTTACGAGCAGTCAAGAGTTCCCAAGATAAAAAAAAAAAAACACATCTTGTTTTCACTGTCCACAAACTGGACAACGTAAAGAAGCAAGTTTTAAATTTGAAAGAAGCACAAATATCATATTATCAAAACTAAATTTAAAGAATGAAATAAATACTATTGGTCCATCAAACCTTATTAGAACTATAAAACTTATTAGAACTATAAAACCTTATTAGAACTATAAAACAAATTTTTTTTAATTCCAATTATAATTAATTAATGACACATTTAAG